CCATTTTTTTTATGTGTGGAGAAATCTGAAGGTAGAAAGTGACATCAGGCCAGGAGCCTCCTATCTTTCTGCAGCTCCACCTTTGTCCTCATGTTGTCATTTGTGGTCACAATGTGGCTGCTCTACCTCCAGTATTGCACTGAAGTTCCAAGCAGGAAGAAAGAGACAAACAAAAGGCAAAAGGCATGTGCCAGCAAAAAACTTGGTAAGAGGTTTATCAGAAGCCTCCATTCAGTGACTATTCTCTCAGGTCTCATTGCCCAGAACTTGTCTCACATATCTAAACCAAGCTGCAAGGTAAAAGATTATGCATTTCCCAATCTAATTTGACTATAGGATCTTTTTTTACCCTAGAGTATGTTTTGAGAATTTTGCTCTAAACAGATGTACAAACATTTATTATTATTATTATTTATTTATTTATTTTTCATGATACAAGAGCAAGCCTTCAAAGAGCATTTGGATTTTAAAGAGCTCTTGGGAACAAAAGAAATCAATCCATAATACTGGAAGTTAAAGTCACGGCCAAGAGACTTCTGGCTAAGATGGAGGAGTGGGTGGAAACATTGTGCCTCCTTGCACAACCAAAATTAAGGACAACAAAGATTTAAAAACAAAAACATAACCAGAACAGACAGAAAATTGAACTATACAGAAGTCTGACAACCATTCAACCAGACTGGTAAGAGGGGTGGAGTCATCGGCCGGTGGAAAGGGATCATGGCAGAAAAAGGCAGTGGCGGCCAGACCCAGGAGCACAGGCAGCACAGGGCTGACCGTGGTCACACATTTGCACACAAATAAACTAGGCAAAAGCAGGCAGCAAGACAGACTGTGCGACCCAGGGCTCCAGCATCAGGAAATAAAGCCTAAAAGCACAGATTGAAAAGGTGCCTTCTAGGAGAATTCACTGAAGAGAACCACAGGGTCCTAGAACATACACAAGCCCACCCACCCAGGAACCAACATCCGAAGGGCCCAATTTGCTTGGGGGAAGTGGGAGAGGGGACTGAAATCCGAGAGCAATCAGAGAAAGTGCCATTGTCCCCTCTCTGACCTCGCCCCCACATATATCACAACCCAGCAACTGGGTTGCCCCACCCTGGTGAACACCTAAGGTGTTCACTTAAACCTAACAGGTGCAACCTGACCAAAAAAATTATGGCTCAAACAGAATAACAGATCAGAGCCCCAGAGCCAATACTTTTAAGCAATCAAAAGATAGCCAACCTATCAGATGCACAGTTCAAAACACTGGTGATCAGGATGCTCACAGAACTGGTTGATTTTGGTCAAAAATTAGATGAGAAAATGAAGGCTACGCTAAGTGAAATGAGGGAAAATGCACAGGGAACCAATAGTGATGGAGAGAAAACTGGGACTCAAATCAAGGGAGTGGACCAGAGGAAGAAAGAAGCAACCAAGCAGAAAAGAATGAAGAAACAAGAATTCAAAAAAAATGAGGAGAGGCTTAGGAACCTCCAGGACATCTTCAAACATTCCAACTTCTGAATTATAGGGGTACCAGAAGGGGAAGAGGAACAGCAACAAGTGGAAAACTTATCTGAACAAATAATGAAGGAGAACTTCCCCAGTCTAGCAAAGGAAATAGACTTCCAGGAAACCCAGGAAACTCAGAGAGTACCAAAGAAGTTGGACCCAAGGAGGAACACACCAAGGCTCATCATAATTACATTAGCCAAGATTAAAATGAAGGAGAGAATTCTAGAAGCAGCAAGAGATAAGGAGCCAGTTACCTACAAAAGAGTTCCCATCAGACTGTCAGCAGATTTCTCAAAAGAGACCTTCCAGGCAAGAAGGGGCTGGAAAGAAGTATTCCAAGTCATGAAATCAAAGACCTACATCCAAGATTGCTCTATCCAGCAAAGCTTTCATTTACAATGGAAGGGCAAATAAAGTGCTTCTCAGATAAGATCAAATTCAAGGAGTTCATCATCACCAAGCCCTTATTACATGAAATGTTAAAGGGACTTATCTAAGAAAAAGAAGATAAAAAATATGAGCAGTGAAAGGACAGCAAACTCAGTTATTAACAACCACACCTAAAACAAAAGCAAACTAAGTGGACAGCTAAAACAGGAGCAGAGCCACAGAAATGGAGATCACATGGAGGGTTAGCAACAGGGGAATGGGGGGCGGAGAGGTACAGAGAATAAGTAGCATAGACAGTGGGGAGAATATAGACAGGGGGAGGACAAGAGTAGTGCAGCAAATGTAGAAGCTAAATGGACATGAACTAAAGGGGGGGGAATGTGGGTGGGGGGGTGTGCAGGGTGGAGGGGAATGAAGGGGGAGAAATGGGACAACTGCAATGGCATAATCAATAAAATACATTATAAAAAAAGGTCACGTCCAAAAGATTAAAGGTAGTTTAAGAAAATGGTAGGGGACCATCTGTACATGCTTCAAATTCCAACATCTCGATGACTGTCATTCTAGCCATTCATAGGGTGGGTCCTGAGCCTATTTAGTAAAGAGAGGATTGTAATGGAGGATTTGTTACTCAAGTAACAAACTTGAGGATTTGTTAGTTGTGTAATAGATCAATAATAATATTTTAGCCACATGTACTTTTTAGTTGCAGCATCTATGAAATGATGACAGTGTAAAGCCTGTTAATGTTTCTTGGTTAATAATAAATCCAATTCAGATTGCTACAAGGAATTCTGTTTAAATTTGCTCTTTACATCATTTTGCTCAGGTATAAACTTGTATAGCATTGGTAACCACACATTTGCTCAAAAAGAAAATGTTTAACCAGTTTCACCCCGATACATAAAAAGAAGACAGGAAAATCTGTGAGCTCATATGCTAAGATAAATCAAGTGCATGAGGCCAGTAGCCATGCTTGGAAATATCGATTCCAGGAATGAATGGAAGGCCTGCTGCAGGAGGAGCAGAATCGCCACCACTGGGCCCTTAAAAACCTTACCCAAACCCCTGTGCCCAAAATGACATAAAATACCTCCATGGTGACTTTCAATTTTTTTGTTTGAGTTTATTGTTTATTTATATTTTTAATAATGCAATTGCCCTGGTCTTGGCAAATCTGTATCTTTATTCTCTTGTGATAAAAGCTAATGGTTTACAGTGTGTAAAGGGTACCTTGGGATTCTCTACTGACAAAATGTATTTCTTTAATCTCTATTCATATTAACCTGCAAACGCAATGCTTAGAAAGTGTTGGGAAATATGCTGCTGCCATCAGGAAGACCACGTATGGTTGTGCAGGTTGTGGGCTGTGCAACCTGCCCAACTGTACCCAGCAGCCCTGGGCTCCAATCTTCCATACTTGCAGAAACAAGGTGAATGGAGAAGAGGGGTGTGTAAAGGATTCTGAAGAAATCCTTTGATTTTTTTTTTACACATGGAACAAAATTGGTAATTTATGATATAACTTCAAGTTCCACATTATTTATTACAGAATAAAGTAAAAATTTCTGGTTGAGAAAAAGGCCCAGTGAAATAAAATTTGAACAAAATTAGAAGTAAAAGCCATTGTATTTCATTTCCATTAAAAAAGAAAAAATACATGATTTTAAATATTAGAAAATAAAAGGGGGGACTGAAACTTAAGGTTCTTGGCAACCTCTCAATGAATCATTATCCTGCTCTTTCTCTGCTCCTTTTCTAATGCACCCTTTTCCCCAATCAGCTCGAAAGGCAGAATTTCCGCATCTGGCAAGTTGGAGTCAGCTGCAAAATTTCCCTGAGATTCGTTTTTATATATTTGCTATCGGTAGAGACTGCCTGTTAAAATTCTTCCAGCTCTCAACATTAAAGACATGAAACATCCTTCACAATCCCAAACACCCTTTTCCTGGCAAGATGTCACACAGAGAAGAAAACAATACCTGGACAACATCTATAGTTAATATATACCATTTTCAGGTGGTAATAATTAGATAATTCTCATCTTTTGTTCCTGATATTGTGTATATTGTCCCTGGATGATCAACACTGTTCATTATATAAGATACTGTCTTCTTAGATATTATCCTGGTTGGATAAACACCTCAAAATTATTTCTATTGTAAGATTTTCTGTTGAGATCTTCATTAGCTCAAAGGCATTGCGGCTGCTTTAAAAGATGTGGTGGGACTGTTTCATATTATTTAACTGTAATGTGGATAACTGTCTCCTGCTTATTAGAAAACAGAAAAACCATAAGGATTTTTTAATGCTCTCAAAAATTGATCTACATCTGCCATTGAGAGAGAGAGAATCGTATATCATATATAGCAGCCAAGTAACTGTCACTTCATGAGTGCGTGTGTCTCCCTGAGCTGCATTGGCAGCGGTTGTATAGAAAACAAGGGGAATGATTTCCTCTCTGTAGGATCAGCTAGGGCATCCCTTAAAAAGACTAAGCAAGCTTGCTGTTGAAATGCAAAAAGAGGTATATAGTGAAGGGAGAAGTCTGGAGGCCATTATCTGCCTGGTTGTAAGAGATGCTTGCCAATGAGATGGGAAGGAAAGTTTAGGACTGGGATTGGGTGAGGGACTCTGCCTGATCAAACATAACTATCAGTGAGAAAAATAACAAATTCTACCTGTATGGTTAGAGCTTTAAAAACTTACTAGGTGAGGTTATTTAATGTTTTGCTTTGTTAAAACTTATTTCCATAGTCTCTTTCAAAGTAATGGGCATATGACTAAATTCTGCATCTAAACGTTAATCATCATTTGGGCCCTTAGTTGTACTAGAAAAACTAACTGTTCATTTTCTCTGAGAAGCAGGAGACCCTATCTGCAGGAAAAGTATCTATGAAGAAAAAAACAGATTCAGAGTAGTAAACTTTGAAATCTGAAGTTTTACAAAGTGATAACATTGTAGTAATAGTGTTATAAGGCTTTTGATCTTATGGTTTAATGGTAAGAAAAACTAAATTTCTAGGTTTTTAGCAAAGTACTCACACACTAAATCTTCTTATACTTAAATAGTAATCTCTAAATGTGAGAAGATTTCTAATTTTTTTTTCTGGTGCAGCATTCCTGTAAGTACTGCAATACCAAGTCTATGCATGGAGTGAACGGAGCAAGCCCCCATTCTGTCCCCTAATTCTAAAAATGCATTTAATACATTGTCCTCAAATAGAGAATGTACCAGATATTAAGCCAATGAGAACAGATACTACACTTGATCTTAACCAAAAGGCTGAGAAGTGATGGGATTTCTCATTTTAAAATGGCAGAGAGAGAATAAACATTTATGGAAAAGGAAAACGGTTAATAACATTTTCCTTTAAAGATTTTATTTGTTTGTTTGTTTGTTTATATGGGAAGGGAGGGAGAAAGAAAGGGAGAGAAACGTCAATGTGAAAGAGAAACATCAATCGGTAGCCTCTTGTATGTACCTTGAACTAGGACCAAATACACGACCCAGGCACATGCCCTGACCTAGAATGAACCAGCTACCTTCTGCTTTGCAGGACAGTGCTCAGCAAACTGAGCCACACAAGTCAAAGCAACAACATTTGGCTTTAAGCAGCATTTTTAAAATTCTTCACGAATAGTATGGAACTGGCACAAATATAAGACACTGAATAGAATTTGACGTGGTGTTTTGAAAGTGTTATTAATGAACTACTTGCATCAGAATCACTAAAATGACTTGCTCAAAGGCAAATTCCTGGGCCCCACTCCAAACTGTTAAAATTGGGGTAGCTGAAAACTCCAGAATCCGCATTTACCCTCACATGACTCCCAAGAACACAAAGATCTGGTAAACACTGCACCAAAGTCTCTTGTGGACTGAACAGACAGGAAGTGCCCATTTTCGTATCCTCAGTACCTAGCACGCTGCCTGGCCCAGAGTGGCTGGTCAGTAAATACTCACGTAGGCAACATGAGTAAAGGAGGTGGTCTTTCTCCTCTTAACCATAACTTAAGTCCAAACTTTTACTTAAGAAAAAAAAAAAAAAAGAAAAGTATTCATCGATGTTCTATAGTTAACCGGGAAAACAGTGAAATACAGAGAAAAGAGTGAAAGAAAAAGGACATGGGCTGGCCAACTGAAAATAATTATAAATGCATTTCATGTATATATTTAATGTGTGATATAAATGCGTAAGCTCAATTAATGTGCTATAAATGTGTCAGTCTAATTAATTAAAGCATGAAACTTTTCTGCTCAGAGGCATCATTTAAGAAATAGCAATGGATCAACATAGCCCCAATATCTCAACTGCAAAAATTATGTAAAATATTAGTATATTATGGACAAGTAGAATAATTTTCAGTATAAAAAAATAGCACTTTTAAAACTACAAAGGAAAAAATTCTAGAACGCATATGCCAAAGTAAAGCACTGGAATGGGTTAGGATGGATGTAAAAAAGGAACATTTTAACTACTCAAATAGCAGGTTGTGAGAGCAGCTAGGCTGGGTAGAGCTGGTGGTTGGCTTGGCAATGGTGTGAATGTGAAGTCAAACCATTACCAAAAGATGCATCAAAAAATAGGTCTGATCAAATAAAGAATGAAAATGAGGAATGATTACAAACGGCCTTTAAAGCACTGCATGATCAATACTTACTGGTATGACTCAGTTGGTTAAAGTGTCATTCTGTAATGGAAAGGTTGTGGGTTTGATTCCCAGTCAGGGCGCATACCTAGGTTGTGGGTTTGTGCCCCAGATGGAACAGGTATGGGAGGCAACCGATCAATGTTTCTCTCTCTCTCTTCTTTCCTTTATCTAAAAAGCAGTGAAGAAATTCCTCAGGTGAGGATTAAAAATTAAAATAAAAAATAAAACCCTGCATGATCTGAAATTTCTGACTCTAATAAATTTATCCTCCAATCTACAAAAGAAAATGCTTGTTTGTTTCAGTTCTTTATTGATTATAATTTAAGGTCTCTCCTATCTATTTACCTATTTATCAACTTTAAAGTAAATGTATAGTGTGTTTCTGCATTTAAGTGCTTTATCTAACAGATTAAAATGGACAAAGCATGGCTCTGACAAATGACATCAACCAGAACCAACATTTTTGGTAATATGTAATATAAATTACTTTTAAATATTGAGTCCTGTTTATCTGCTGGGTTTTTAATGAAAAGGCCATATACCCAAAATTAATTTTTCAAAATAATGAAAGGATAGTCTTCCAAAAGACCATCTATAACTAAGTTGTTTGCTACTTCAAAGAATTTCTCTTAGAAGTTGTGTTATTTTAGGGATGTATATATATATCTTTTCTGTTTTAAGATTTATTTATTTATTTATTTACTTTTAGAGAGAGGGGAAGGGAGGGAGAAACAGAGGGAGAGAAACACTGATGTGTGAGAGAAACATTAATTAGCTGCCTCTTACATACCCCCAACTAGGGACCTGGCCCAAAACCCAGGCATGTACCCTGACTGGGAATCGAACTGGTGGCCCCTTGGTTTGTAAACTGGCACTCAATCCACTGAGCCATACCAGCCAGGACTGTATCTTTAAATTAGTCTTCTAGGCTAACCCCAAATCATGTCAGTGTCACTCAACCCCATTTATACCATCTGTCTTTCTCACGCGCTAATTTCATCACAAAAGCCTTTACATTCATCCAGTATATTTGTGACTAACTATAGTTTCTTTTATTTTCTTAAATATATTTTATTGATTATGCTATTGCAGTTGTCCCAGTTTTTCCTCATTTGCCCCCCTCTTCCTGGTACCCCCTTTTCTCCAGCAATCCCCACTCTTAGGTCATGTCCATAGGTCATGCATATAAGTTTTTTGGCTCCCCTATATCCGATACTATTCTTAACAGCCCCCTGTCTATTCTGTACCTACCAATTATGCTTCTTAATTTCTTCACCTTTTCCTCCATGCTCCTCCTTATCATGCCCCCTCACCACCAGCTGATAGCGCTCCAAATGATCTCCCTACCTATAATTCTGTTCTTGTTCTTGTTTGCTTAGTTTGTTTGTTCGTTTGTTTAATTCAGTTGTTGGTAGTTGTGAATTTGTTACCATTTCAGTGTTCATAGTTTTGATCTTCTTTTTCTTAAATAAGTCCCTTTAACATTTTATGTAATAATGGCTTGGTGATGATGAACTCCTTTAGCTTTATTTCTCTGGGAAGCATTTTATCTGCCCTTCCATTCTAAATGATAGCTTTGCTAGATAGAGTAATCTAGGTTGTAGGTCCTGGCTTTCTATCACTTTGAATATTTCTTGCCAGTCCCTTCTTGCCTGCAATGTTTCTTTTGAGAAATCAGCTCATAGTTTTATGGGAACTCCTTTGTAGGTAACTTCCTGCTTTTCTCTTGCTGCTTTAAAGATTCTTCCTTTATCTTTAACTTTTGGCAATTTAATTATGATGTGTCTTGGTGTGGTTCTCTTTGGGTCCAACTTGTTTGGGACTCTCTGTGCTTCCTGGACTTGTATGTTTATATCCTTCAACAAATTAAGGAAGTTTTCTTGCATTATTTTTTCAAATAAATTTTCAATTTCTTGCTCTTCCTTTTCTCCTTCTGGCACCCCTATGATTCAGATATTGGTACATTTGGAGGTGTCCTAGAGACGCCTTATATAATCCTCATTTTTTTAAATTACTTTTTCCTTTTTGCTGTTCTGGTTGAATGGTTATTTTTTCTTGTGTTCAAAATTGCTGATTTGAATCCCAGCTTCCTCTTCTCCACTTTTTGTTCCCTGTAGATTTTTCTTCATTTCACTTAGTGTAACCTTCATTTCTTCCTTTATGTTGTTGCTGTACTCCATGAGTTCTCTGAGCATCCTGATAACCAGTGCTCTAAACTCTGTATCTGATAATTTGGTTATCTCTGTTTCATTTAGTTCTTTTTCTGGGTTTGTGTTCTGCTCTTTCATTTTGACCATATTTCTTTGTGTCCTCAATTTTTCAGCCTTCCTGTGTTTGTTTCTGTGTATTAGGTTGAGCTGCTTTGACTCCTTTTCTTAGTAGTGTGGCCTATTGTAGAAAAGGCACCTGTGAATTGTGTGGGGCAGAGCCTTAGGTATTCGCCAGGTTGGGGCAACCTGCTTCACTACTTTGTGGCTCTGTGTGGGGAGGGCTCGTAGAGTGGACAGTGCTGCTTCCTGGCTTCTGGAGGTTTGCCTGACACTTGCCCCATTTTTAGTCATTTCACTCACTTCCTGTAAGCAACTGGCACCCTTCCAGCTGTCGCCCTGACGCTGAATCCCAGAGTGGGTGGGTTTGCATAGGTTCTAAGACCATGTGGGCCCTTTAAATAGAGTCTCCTGAAAATCCAGCAGTTTCTTCTGCCACCCCACCCCCCGCTGGTTTATACAGCCAAGAGTTATGGGGATTTATGTTCCCAGTGCTGGAGCCCTGGGCTGTGTGGTTTGGCCTGGGGCTGGGGTTGCTTGCTCCCAAGGTATCTATCCTGATTTTTATCCACCACACGTGAATGTGGGACCACCCATTCCACTGCTGCCGTGGCCTCTCTGTGCCACACCGTGTCTTTGTGCCTATCCACCTGTCTCTGCATCTCCACCCCTCCTACCCATCTGGATGAATGAGGCTTCTTAAATCCTCGGTTTTTAGACTTCCATACAGCTCAATTTTCTGACAGTTAAGGGTTTTATTTGTTTTGTGACATAGTTGTGATTCTTTCTGTGATTATACAAGGAAGCGAAGCATGTCTACCTATGCCTCCATTATGACTGAAAGTCGGTCTCAAATTTGTGGTTAATTTTAAATTTACTTTATCAATACTTGTTAATTAATTATGATTTAATTGCCATCTCATTGTTTACAGAGACACATGCAATATTTCATCATTAATCATTAGTGAACATTCTTTGAAATCACTACCAGAGAGCCATTATTCGCTAAGAGCTACATAATGAACACAAACCCTAACTGGCCTTGCTTCAAAGCATTTGATAGGACAACTGGGCTATATATACTACAGTTTTATTAGGAAATTCCTAATATCACCACACATCAATTAAAATGGTCAAATCCAAAACACTAAGAACTCCAAAAGCTGACTGAGATGTATAGCCATAGGAACTGTCATTCATTGCTGATAGAAGTACAAAATGGTACAGCCACTTTAGAACAGTTTGGCAGTTTCTTATACAATTAAACGTACTCTTACCATGTGATCCAGCAATTGTGCTTCATGGTAATTATCCAAGTCAATTAAGAATGTATGTCTACACAAAAACAGGCACACAGACGTTTAATTAATTTCAT